AATAAGAGGAAAAACCACTGTATATCGCTAAAAATGTTAAACTGAATTAAAAACTAAGCTATATAAATCTATAACTAAGCTAAACAACTAAAACTAATAAAACTGAAAGTAACCAGCGGGAGCTAAAGATTTCCGAATTTTGGAATGCTTTTGCTAACATAATTACGCCTACTAAATTACGTATGGTACGTATACAATTATATATGTTTCTGGACGACGGGCAATTTTATTTTTACCAGCGTTTCTTTGACAAAGCTAAAACACTTGTTGTGGTTCTATTTCATATGTGTGCGGCTGACCAGCTTCAGAGTGGCAAATATATGAAAAAACTGGTTTGCGCATTTATATGATATTCACAAAGTTAACGTTTAAAAATGAAATAGGCATAAATAACTGTTAGTTCACAGATGCAAGCAAACTAACCTTTGACTTCGTTGCCAGCACTTGGATTTAACGCATGGATAAGACAAAATGTGCAACTGAACAAAAAGAAGATAACTAAAGAAAAATGTGATGCTATTAAAAGGCATTTTATTCCCTTGGTAACAAGTTGCCATGTGATAGCTTCTGTTCCATTGTCCAACAGCTCATCCGTTGCCAGGCCAACTTAACAATAGCCCTATCCCTAGCACATGCATGTACAATGTGTTATTGTTTGAGCTTTATGTTCTAAATTTTGTTACATGAGACGCTGCGGACATCTATCGTTAAATATCCCAAGCTACGGAAGGCCAATCAGCTGACCTTGAACAGTGATTGGTCATGTCCGATGGCTTTCGGTCAAAGGAGAATCCCAAAATAATGAAGATTACACCAGTGGATGGAGTCTTACTAATTTTTCTTCCGTGATAATCTGTGTGCGGATATATCAGAGGCCAAGGAAGGGGAAAGAAGATAAACATCAGCCATTTGCAAGTTCAACGCCATGATAGGCTCATTTAAGAAACTAAAAAGGAGGTTGGGAGGCGGGAACCACATGTTTTTACACTTTTGCGTATAAAAAAGTGGCACCACTGTCCGAGGAAACGAAAGTGGTATGAATTGCCAATACGAGCGAGCGTGCAAGTCCTAGCAGGTAATTGAGAATAAGACGACTCGATCGGTGGATCAACGGCTTGATCCGCCTTACGCCTCAAGCTCCGTCGTGGATTCATCCTTAGAGACAGAGCAGATAGCACTAGCACATACGGGTAGTATATGCACAGCAAGTTTGCAGTATTCATAGGGTGCAGTCATTACTGCAAACATACAACGAAAATTAATTGTAATTGCCCTTTCGCGCGTTGACAGTTTGCCGACTGGCATGTGAGCTTTGATTTCCTGAACTTTCATCACGCGTGGTGGTCTCGGGCGTGAGGACAATCGGGTGAGCCGATCATTACTTGAGTAATGGTTCACGGGCCCCCAATCCATAACTAAGTGCAACGGTTTGCCCAATCCATATAAGATGTTGCGAC